TGATACTTATAATAAAATATTTAATTAATTAAAAAAAAAGGGGAAAAAGTGTTAAAGATCTATTTTTATTATTTTTGGTTTATTGTGAAAAAAGAATTAAATTACAACCTAAAATTAAATCTAAATTAATTATGGGATTTATTTACAAAATTAATACTAAAATAAAATATTTATTATTTTTATCTTTTCTGATTTTTTTGTGTTTTTTATATTTATTATGAAAATATTGATTTGAAAAAAATTAAATGGAAATTAAGCAAACAAATAAAAATAAATAATAAAAAAAAAAGATAAGGAATAACAAACCAAGGGGGTGCAGCCCAAGTAATTCTGGCCCATTTTTGGAGGCTTTGTTGACTTTTTCAGGCCACGTGTGGTAGTTTTGACTAGGACCCATCATGGTCTTCAGATCTGAGCCTTTGATTTGATCTCCCTGGCTTTGTGAATGGTTTGATGTTGAGAGCGCATGATGTGCCTTGATGCTGATCCTGCATGGAATCACTAAACACAAAATAATATGAAGAGGGTGAAGACCTGGGGCTCGAACCCAGGTCATGAGGATTAACACCCACCCACTTTACCACTGAAGCACTCAATGCATTTTGTTTATTAAATAACATACAAATAACATAAGCGAAAACATGGGTTAGTGGGTTTCCAGCGCGAAAATTCAAACTGACCAATCGTTGGCTGCCACTGCATCGTCTTCTTCGTTGGCTTTCCTGAAACAATTTAACAAACATTTAACGGGGGTTTTAAACCCCCTCAAAATATGCTAATTTCAATAATAGTGATTAGGGCTGTGACGCTCAGAAATTTGGCGCGATGGTCTCAATCTTTTCGTCCCAACCTGCTGATTTTGTTCATAACATTGTTATATCTCAATTTTATAGTAATGAAAAACGCCCAATTTAAAAACCTTGGAACCCTAGGTATCTCTAATGGCGAATTCTCATATAGGGCATGAAACTTCAATCAAACTATGCAGTTAGTTTGTAAACATCATCCTAAACACAAAAACAACAACAAAATATGTTAAAAATGCATGGATAATAGAAAACAGTTTTGGAATTTTCTCTACCAATTTCAGTGATGACTTCGCGTTTTCTTGAGTATGGGGCTTAGTTTTTGATTGGAATATGTCCTATGATCCTTGAGGAAGCTAATGGAATAGGAATCTTGGCTTGAAACCACCTCTAACTTGGTTTTCAGATTTGAGATTTTTTTGCAAAAAAGTGTGAGTTTGTTTTGAGCAATAGGGCGCAGCTTCTGTGTCTATTTTGTTGTGTATCAATTGTATAGGTCTTATGCAATGTGTAGGAAGAGAAATTATGGCTCCATAATGCATAGCCTTCAATTCCAAGATTCTCCATGAACCTCCATAACCAACTTTCCATTTTTGAGTCCATTTTTGAATTCTTGCTTCTTTGAGCTTTGGCACGAAAATGGGATGTGCTTAATGATGTTTCAAGGTTAATCAAAACCAAATATTCCCTTAAATTAATTTTTTTGAATTTCTTTTGATTTTAAAAGATTTAAAATTAATTAAATCCAATAAAATCAATAAAAATGAAAAAATTAATAAAAAATTCTGAAATAAAAGGTGGGACACGTGGGAAGCATGGCCAAGTTAATTCAAGTGGAAAAAGTGGGCCCCTTTTGTCAAAAATGAGATTTCAAGGATAAATGATTTTGGCCATTTCACAAAAATTTCCCAACTTCTCCAATGCATAACTTGCTCAATTTTTAAGCTTTGCTCATGTTCTTGGATATTTTGGAAAGGTTTTTGAGTCCTCTAACCAATGTCCTTGGTCCCATGTCATTTTGATTTACCAATCTCAAGTTATGGCCTTTGACCTAAAGTCCCTTTTTGTTGACTTTTGAAAATGACCTATAATGTTGAAATTGATAACTTTTTGTGAGAGCATTTCTTGGACTTGAAGTATGAAGTTTAGTTGTAGGAAATGTCTTTCTCTTCAAAATGAGCTTTGGATGTAATTTTTCTGATAATCCATGTGAAAGTTATGCCCTGGTCAATTTCAGTTGACTTTTTCAGCTGTCCAAATAAGGAAACTTTTGCATCTTGATGATTTTTGAGCCAAGCTTTGAGAATCATGATCAAGCACTGATCAAATGATGTTTGTGGCTTCAAAATGATATGTTGACCAAAAATTTGAACTTTTGACTGTCAAATGACCATTTTGCCCCTACAGTTGACTGTAGGACAATTAGGGTTTTTGACTGTGCAATTTTGTGCTGAAAGTCTTGAAACTTGATATGAGGATGCTTGACCATATTTGTAGGCATGTGGGACTTGATTGGGCCCTTGGAAACTTCATTTTCTTGATCAGAACAAAAACCCTAATTTTGACTACTTAGGAGGCCCTTGACTGTGCAACCCTTGGAGAGGTTTTGAAGCTTGACTTGGCAAATCTTGGAGAATATGGGAGGACAAATTTTAGGGTACAACACGAGGCAACCATTTCGAGGAAACTGTTTCGAGGCAACTGGATCTTGGACATAAGAGCGACCGTTAAAACGTCCTATACTTGACGACCACGTTTCGAAGGCAACGAGTGAGGCGTACCCTAGAAGTGGTGTGTGCATTGTGTGTTGTTTTCATGTTATCAGTTATCTTTGATCATGGCATTGTGAGCTACGAGTTGTTTTTATTTACCATACATTCTTTCATGCATTTAACAGTTAGGGGGTGCGGAAAGTAAATTGCGGAAACATATATCCTACGCTATTACGATGCGCGGGTCTATACATCGCCAAAAATACAAAGACTCGTTTTTGGTAAATAAGTACGGAAAGTAAATAAAGCAGTAAAATCCTATTTAACTATTACATTCTTGGAAGCAATTACATAATAATAAACTATGCGCGAATAAAAATTAAATCGGAAATGTCTAAAGGGTGTTGACCCTTTTTAGAAAAGAAATTGATTTTTTTGGTCTTTTTGGTGATTAAATGAAATTAAAAACTAATTAATGACTAATTAATTAATTTAATTAAAAGAAAATATTTTGTGTTTTTTATGTTTTTTATGAAATAATAAAAAGAAATAAAATTAAAAGTTAATTTTACCTAATTCTAAATCTATTTTAATTATTAAGAAAAGAAATTAAGATTGCCTAATTAAACTATTTATTTGTTAATATTTATTTACAAAATAAAATAATAATAATAATAATAATGATGTTAGTTCTATTTTTTTTGATTTTTTATGAAAATATGTTAATTATGTTAATTGTTAATAATAAAATAAATAAAATAAGGCAAATAATAAAAAAAATGAAAATGACAAAATAAGAAAAAAAGATTAAACCCAAGGGGGGTGTGGGCTGGAATTTGAGGGTGTCTGATTGAGATTTGAGGCCCATTTGAACAAAGCCTGTTGACTTCTTGGATTGAGTGGAGCGCGTTTGACTTGGAACATGGTATTCCTCACTTTTTGTCCTTTGGATCTGCACTGATGACACATGGCACGCTGGATGTGTGAGGCTTATGGTGTCCAACGCTTGGGAGTCTGCACAAGAACATATTGGAAAAAATAACATTAGAATTATGGGGGACCTGGGAATCGAACCCAGGTCCCAAGGATGCTTGGCCACGTCTCCAGCCACTGAACCACTCATGCGCGTGTGTTAGAATAATGGAAAAGAAATATAATATAAAGTAAACGCATTATATGCTGAAAAAACAAAGAAAAGCGCGCGTGGTTTAAATCCTCCTTCCATGCCCTGCCACGCATGTCGTCTTCTTCATTTCCTGAAACAAAAAGCAAGCAAATAGTGGGGGTTTTAAACCCCCACTAACTTCAACAGTGAAAAATAGCGATTAGAAATTGGGACAACATAAAAAGGGCGCGAGGATCCCATTCAATTCGTCTCATTGCAACGAATCCAGTCATATGCGTTACTAGTCCTAATTGTTCTGGGTTTAGAAAGCCCCAAATTTGAAACTGAAGAACCCTAGAATTTGTTCATGGTGATTTTGGATTCAGCGCGTTTCAGTTCAATTAAACTGTTTCACTAGCTTCAGAAGGTCCCTAACAATACAAACCAATCAAAAAATGGATTAAAAGCTCATGAAATATGATATACAGATTTGAGAAATAAGGCAAACCGAGTGAGTTGTGTGGCACGAATTCTTGAGGTTTTTGGCTTGTTTGTGCTTGCAAAAGGATCCTGGAAATGTAAGGGGCGTGTTTGGATCAGAAAGGAAGCTTGAATTGGGCTGCAAGGTGGTTTTCAGTTTGTCACTTTTCCTTGGAATTTTTGAAATTGCTTATGCTGTATGGGAGTATTCTAGCTCGTGTCCGCTATATGAAAGGCTTGCACATGTGTTTTGTAATGTGAATCAATCAAAATAATGGACATTTAAGCCTTTGCCATGAAGTTTTGATTTTGCCATGAACACCATTAAACCACTTGCCATATTTGCTTCAAATTTGAATTTCCATGCTTGAAATAGGCCTTGCACGAATTTGGAATGTGCTTCATGGTGTATCAAAGCTATTCAAGCCACAAAATA